CGGCGTCCTCTCTGTGGAAAACAACAGGCGGGCGGGTGAGCGGGCTGCTCCGCGGCGCGGCGTGGGCACGGCCTGGGCAGAGCCGAGGGCTCTTGGCAACCTCTTGTCTCCCGCGCCTCCCTCCACCTGCCCTCGCCTCTCTCCACCTGCCCTCCTCTCTCCCTCGGCCTCGACCTACTCTCCTTTGTGCCCCTTCCTGGGTCGGCGACCCTGCAGCGGTCCCGGGGCCAGCATCCCCATCCTCCAGACAGGGCTTGTCCACGCGTATCTGGACAGCCCCGCAGGCAGCCCCCACCAGGCCCCTCCAATCCCTTTCTGATGTTTCGCCGGCCGACCGCTTCAAATAGAGATCCAGAAGGAGCTGCTTTTCCTCTTCGTCTTTCCTTAGCTAACCCTGACCTTGCACGAGCAATCTCTCTCTTTCTCACATCCTGCCCCTCAGTCTTCTCCGTCTTTCCCTCCATCCCCGAGGCATTGCAATCATTAGCACTACTAGACTTGTTCTATTTTTATTTCTAGTTTGCTTCTAATATAAGTTATTAGCACTATTCTTATTATTAGTTCATCTTAAATAATCATGTCAGAGTTCTCACCGGCGCAGTACAGGGGAAACGTGAAAAAATATAGGCCCTGCCCTCCAGGAGCTTACAGTCTAGACAAGACAGACAGGTGCGTAGATAGGAGGGAAATGGAAGGCAGGGAGCAGAGGTGAAGACTGGGGTGGGAAGGGGAGGGAAAAGCCATGCGTTGGGTGGCAGGTCGACATGCCGCAGTCCCAGCACTCCGTGGCGATGGCGGGCAGGGTTGGGGTGGGGGGCCCAGCCGGCCGGTGGCAGGCAGGAGTGAGGTGGGCAGGGCGCCGGTTCCCTGCCGCACAGCAGCATGCAGCATGCATCAGGTTTTACCTGATCTCACTAGCCAAGTCGCCGCAGGCCCCTCCGCCGACCCCGCCGCCGTTGCCGTAGCCGAAGGCACCGCGGGCGCCGCCAGCCCCGGAGCCCCCGCAGCAGCAGCAGACGAGCCCCCAAATGCCTACGGCCAGGCAGCCCAGCGCGAGCAGAGAGCCCAGGATGGCGCCGATGATCACGCCTATACGCCGGGAGTCTGTGGAGAGAAGTGGAGGCAGGTCAGGCTTTCTCACAGCCTGGCAGGAGCCTGAGGGACCAGCACCAGGAGGTGCCAGGGCAGGGGTTAGTGGGAAAGAGGGAGAGGGACCCAGGGGGACTCTTAGCCCTGGGACACCCAGCGGGGAAGATATGGGGAGATGCAAGTTAACCGCTTGTGTCAGAATGCTTCTCCCAGGTCTTCCAGCCGCTCTGGGCTCTAGAGCACAGACTGAAAGCTGTGCCGAGAGAGGTAAGACCCAACTCGGTAGGGGTAATTGTACCCACTGACCTTGGCCCACTTGTAGGAGAGGGGCTGGGAGCCCCCATTGGCAAATGGATGGCAGTGGAAAGGCAGAAGCAGCTGAGGCTCCAAACCAGAGCCCAGCCTCCTCCCGTTCAACCCTCCCAACCACCCAGCCCTCTAGACTGCTGAACCTACCTGAGACCTTTACCTCCACCACACAAACACTGTAGCCCACGTTGTTGGCCACTGTGCACTGATATAGCCCATCATCTGCTCTGGAGATATCCTTCAACACCAGGTCCCCGTTGTTCAGGCCTGAAAGTGAAGTGCAGAAATACCTGGTCTCAGAGCTCACACCCCAACCTTAGTCCCTGTGGGGTGGGGGATGGGACACCCACTCCGGAAGAAGGGAAGGCTTATGCATGTGTGTACGCCCACACACACACACACACACTCCACTCTCCAGGTGAGTCACCTTCCCCCTGCTGTGAAAGAGATGCAAGAAAGGACCTCTCTCCCAGCAGCAAGACAGACACCATTAATTCACTCTGACCTTAGGGAAATATATCCTCTCTCTGAGCCTTGGTCTCCTTTGTACAGTGAGGACAGGGGAAGCCAGGGGAAGAGGAACTCTAAGGTTCCTCCTAGCTCTATTATTCTTTGTTTGACTGAATATTGTCAGCTTCTCTATGTACTGGGAGCTTTACACACCTCCCCCATTTAATCCTTTCATGCCCATGAAAGGTATATATTAGTATTCCCTTTCCATATATGAAGAAATTAAGGCACAGGGAGGGTAAGCCACTTGCCTTAGACTTGGAGCCAGTCAGTGTCCCAGCCAGGATTCAAGCCCAGCTCTGTCTGAGACCATGCTCCCTCCAAATTCACCATAGTACTTTTGACTGACTCTCCACATTTGCCTTATCATCTCCTCTCAATAGCAGCTGCTGGGCCAGGCATGGTGGCTCACACCTGTAATCCTAGCACTTTGGGAGGCTGAGGTGGGCGGATCACCTGAGGTCAGGAGTTTGAGACCAGCCTGGCTAAAATGGTGAAATCCAATTTCTACTAAAAATAAAAAAAATTAGCTGGTTATGGTGGCACGTACCCATAATCCCAGCTACTCGGGAGGCTGAGGCAGAAGAATCACTTGAACCTGGGAGGCAGAGGTTGGAGTGAGCCAAGATCACACCATTGCACTCCAGTTTGGGCAACAAGAGCGAAACTCCGTCCCAAAAAAAAAAAAAAAAAAAAAAGTAGCAGCTGCTGGGGTAGGCCCAGAGGGAGGGTCGCCCACAGGGGATTTGATGGCACTGATAACCCAAGGAAACCCCAACAGATCCCAGAGTCCCCGATCTTCCATTCATCCCCACACTACCCTCGCCCAGTGCCCTCTCACCTTGGTTTATGGAACTGTGGAAGGACTCCTGGTAGGACAACTCAGAGTGATAGCTGTGCTGGGAGGTGTAAGACCCAGCTCGATAGGGGTAATGGTGCCCACTGATCTTGGCCCACTTGTAGGAGAGGGGCTGGGAGCCCCCACTGGCATAGCACTTCAGCACCACATCGTTGCCATGTGTCATGTGGCCCTCAGTCCAGCACATGGGCACTGCAGGTCGTGCTGCAAGGAGGCAGACAATGGTAAGCCAGGGCCCAGCCAAGAGACAGAGCCAGGCTCAAGGTGGCCAAGCTGCCCTTGGCTCTGAAGCCAGGGAAAGAGGAGCTCAGAGGAGTCTGGCCATACCTTGGACAGTAACAATGACCTTCCGGGTGGCCATGGTGGTCTTCTTCACCCGGCACTCATAGGTGGCTGTATCAGATACCTGCAGGTTCATGAGGTTGATGGAAGCATCATACTGGCTTGGGTCTGAGGCTGCAAAGCGGACCCTCTGCTGCAGATGGGGAAGGTTGCCATGGTTGATCCTCTTGTCCTGATAACTAAGGAACTGTGAAGAGAAGAGGAAAACAGGTGGTGAAACAGGCAGGGCCAAGGAGGGCCATGTGGGTTGGCTGCTTTGGGCAATTCACTGAACTTCTCTGAGACTCTGTTTTCTCAGCTGAAAAAAATGAGAATAATGATGCCTGAACCACTGACCTCTTACAGAACTGGTGAGATCAGGTGAGATCAAGCACTTGGAAAAATATATGGTCAGACTGGGAACTTTTTGAAGGCAGAGACTACACCTTATCTTCCCTTTAGAATGGGATGGGAGGACATAGACTGACTGGCTAGCTTAATTCACAATTGCAGAGCTCTCATCCCCATTGCCTCATTCCCTCAGAGGCCTTGAGGGAGATTCAAAGTCAGTCTTCTCCCCTTGGGATGTTGGCTGTCCAACAGGTAGACATCATGAAGCACAGAGGAAGGAGATCCCTGTGCCCAGCACTCACCACGTTCTCTCGGTGGTGGGCGGGGTCTGAGTTGACCTGCATCCACTCGATGTCCAGCCCATTGGGACCATAGTCCTCAGGGTCCAGGACGTAGGGGCAGCCCAGCCTCACATTATCACCTTCTGCCAGGTACAGGACCTCCTGTCCATCCCCGTTGATCCGCACAGCAGACAGCAGTGCTAGGGGGAGGGCAGAGAAGATGGGGTGGTAGGAACAGAACCAGGGCTTCAGGAGGAGTCAATGTCAGTCCTTCCCTTCATATTCTCTGTTCACTGCACCCAGAGGTCAGGGGTGCTTTCATAAAAAGGAGGGCTGCTCTTAGTGGGTGTGTATGTGTGTGTGCATGAATTGTCATAGGCATATAACAGCTATACATATAGCTGTTATATATGTAGCTGCTATGTATGCTTGTATGTATATATGATTATATGCATGTATGAATATGTACACATATGTACATTGTATGCTTATGAGTATTTGTGACTGCTTATGTATACTATGAGGATATTCATGTACATGACCTTCTAGCGTGTCTGATTATATATTTATATGATAGTGTGGACGTGTTTGTGTGTGTATGAAGGCATGGAGTACACACAGAGTTGTTAAATGCTCTGATGGAAGAGCCTGGCTGATTAAATGTCACCTATCTGGGCTCTGTCTGGGCTGAGTGAACTCCTCGTGTCCAGAGGCAGCAGGGTGGTTACAATGGCTTCTGCGACTCCTCTTCAGCCTGAGAAGCCAAAGACTAAGTGTGTCTATGTGTATCTGTGTATGACAGTGTGTGTCTGTGGCTGTATGCCTCTGTGTGGTTTTGTACAGTGATGTGTGACCATGTGAGGCTATGTAAGTGCTTAAAGGTGACAGTGTGTGCTTGTGCAGGACAGTGGACAGCTGTGACCAGGAGCCTGACTGTGTTCATGTGTGATAGTGAGTGATGGTGTGCACCTGGGACTATGGCCACAGCTATCTGTAGGACATTGTGAGTCTTTCTTGACTACACAGCATTGTGGACTGCATGTGATTGTGTGGTTCACATGCAGCCGCCCCCACAAGCTGGCTCCCAGTGAGGCCCCTCCTGCCACTGAGTCAGTGGCAGGCAATCCTGGGTGAGGAGCTGGGATCCCAGGACCCAGGAGCTCGGGACTGAGCTCTTGTCCCTCCCTACCCTGAAGCCCCAGGCAGGCCTATCCCCAACCGGTTGGACCTAGAGAGGGATAAGACTGGGGCGGGGGGGGGAGGGGCGTGGGCGGGGGGGGGAGGGGCGTAGCCAGGGCCCCACCCTGGACACTCTGCACTCCACCTCCCAGTCTCCAGCAACCCTGCCTCTGCAGGCCCCTCACCAGGCCTCACACACTCTCTGTCTGCGTTCTTTTTTGAGTCAATATGTCTTCTGGAGTCATAGCCCCAGATCTCAGCAGTCATTCTGTTCTGTCATTCTGTGGCTCAGGACCACATTTACACAGAGATCTCACAAGGACACACACACAATTACACAATCACGGGCAAACAAATTGATATGTGGCCCACTGTTACAAGCCTTCAAAATGCAGATACATACCTATGTGACCCCATCTTCCTACACACACAGACACTATTAGATTCATACAGACACAGACACAATTTGCACACAAACGCAGAACATATTAATTCAAAAGACACACCCACCGTGTGTTCATATAGTCCTTGTGTGTGTTCATTCAAGACCAGACATATCCATGGAAACCCTGCCAGGAAGGCTTAGCCTGGCTCCAGAGAGGCCAGCAAGGGCCCTCTCGACACATTCAACACCTCAGGGATCCTTGAACTTCCCCGCTAGGAACACTGGCTGGGTCATCAGCTCTGTCCTAACCCAGCTAGACTCCAAGGTGACCCAGAGCAGGCAGGCTGACTGCTGGGGCTGTAACGGGACCTGGTGATGCCTCTACCAGCTCCAGGCCAAAAGAACAACAGCTCATTCCTGAGATAAGGATCCTGCTGCCATCTGCCAGATCCTGAGGCGGCTCAAGGCAAGCCAGGGATGAACCAGAACTCGGCTGAGAGCAGAGGCTCCACCCTGGAGAAGCACCGCTGGAAGCACCCACGCAGGGAAGACTCTCTCCATGCCATAGGAGCCTGCCAGGCAGGAGGGTAAGCATTCTGGGAGAGGGGCTTGGGAGGGAGCGACAGTGCAAGAAAAGCACCTCCACCCTGCACCAGGCTGAGAGCTTCTTCAATTGTCCCACGCCAGGGAGCCCCCCGCCCCCCGGCTTTTCTATCTCCTTAGAAGTCTTCTCAACCTCCTCCCAAGGGTTCCAGCCTTTTCTCACCCCTCCCTCTCCTTGGGAGGTTGTTCCTAATGTCTCACCTTGATTCCTTTTGCTGTAGCACTAAGGAAGTACTATAGGGAATGAGAGAGGAGAGCCCGGAGAGAGGGAAGAAAGGCAAAGTGGAAGAGAGAGCTGGATGGGAGACTTGTGGAGAGACAGGAATGGAGGAATCACAATGGACTCTCCAAGGAAGAGGACAGTGGTGATTCTTTGCCCCAACAAAAGCTGGCCATGCTTTATGGGGTGTCATCTCAATAGTGGTGCCTACTCTCTGCTTGTAAATTCTTTCTGAATCTTCAAGGTGCTTCCAGAACTCCTGACCCTCCCTCTGGAGGTAAGGGAGGGGAGAAAAGGCGGCTCCAGCTGAGGGTATTGGTGTGTTCATGCAGCCAGCGTTGAGTTGTCCTCACACACCCACTGACACACCATACAGGGGGAAGTCCAGGTCCCCACAGCACAGCTGCAGCCTCTGAGTGGACTTTGCCAGCCCTGCTCTCACCAGACAGAGAGGGGCTGCAGCTATCCTGCCAGAAATGTCCTCATTCCCACACAGGCACACACACCCACACACTCACATACACATTCACGCTCACACAAAGGCTGAAAATGTCGCCCTGTCTTCCCACATTCCTCCTTCATGCCCCTTCATCCCAAATCCAGACCACAGGAGGGACTCAGCCATTTCCAGCCATGTCAGCATAGAATGTCCCTTGGTGGAACTTGCCCCAACCTGAGCAGGAAGCCACAATGTCCAAACTTGAGCCCTGCCCTGTGGACCTGTCCCGGTGGGGTGAGAAGTCTCTGGAGTTGCCATCCCCGCCACCCTCAGGCCTCATCCTGGAGTGGGGCACGGCCCTCCCGTAGCACAGGGTGCCCAGGGCTGTGGTCTCAGGCCTGAGCTCTCACTGGCCATGATGGAAGCAACCACTCAGACTTACACCAGCCTTAGTCTCTTGCCCTTTCAAGGCAAGCGACTCCCCTGCCCCTTGGCCCTGGCCTTGGGAGAGAAGGAGTAGCACTGGGAATAGCACACAGTCCGATGAAAATTGATCCTTCCCAAGCTCCTCCTGAGCCCTCACCCAATGCCTGTGCTCACCTCCCTCCTACCCCACCTCCAGCTCCTGCAGAGCAATCCATCCCTCTCCTCCTATTCACAGCACAAGCTTGCAGGGCACCTGCACACATGTGTGAGCCCAACAGGGGACACATAAAGATCCACTCAAAGACCTCCACACCACAGACACCCACCCTGAACCTCAGGCACAGGGTCTCCTGGGGAGAGGTCCCCTGGCAATACCCACACCCGGCTGCAGCAGGGCAAGGGTAGACAGCACCCTGCCAGGCATCTCAGGCAGCCCCAGGCTCTGCTGTGAGCCCTCACTGCCCCTTTCCTGTCCACCTGGCTTCATGCTGGCTATTCCTGCCCCCTGCCCAGCCCCGTACCTGGGCTCAGGCACACGAGTAGAAGGTGGAATGGTCCTCCAACTCCCATGTTTCTAGACTCGGTGTTTCCTCCTCCTGGGCTGGATATCCCGTGGGGTCGTGGTGGTGGGTGTGAGGGGGTGGGTGGAGGGGGGGGAGGTGAGGGCCCAGACACGGCCCGGGGTGGCAGGAAGGTGCAATGAGTGCCCAGCTGGGGAGCAGCCGGAGTTATTTCTATGGGAGGGAGGGGGCCTGGTCCCCGCCTTGGGGAGGAGTCCCAGGAACCCTAATTAGCGGGGTGACAGGGTGGCCTAGCTGGGCATTACTGAGTCCTCACCCAAGCTCTTCCCTGTCCTAAGAGTGGCACAGGATAGCCAGCGGGACTTGTAATTAGGCACCTGTTAAACTTCACTTCCTCCTGGCCACATCCTCAGGGTGACAACAGTCACCTCATTTACAGCTTCCAAGGGCTCCCCTCACCACTCATTTGCTGCCTCCTTCCCTGGGGGAAGTGGGGAAGAGGAAGGAGAAGCCAGGCTTGGGAGGAAGAGTGGCCAGGCTCTGAAGAGTTAATCCTGATCCCAGGGCATAGGGTTCCCCAGGAATGTCCAGCCCACCTTCCCCTGAGGCTTCAGGCCTTTCAAATGGAGTCAGGCCTCCTGAGCTGAAAGAGGAGAGAAGGGGTATGTGCAGGAACAGAGTCTCCTCCTAGCCGTCCCCTCTGGAAATGTCCTCCGCACCCATACCTGACTCAAGGCCATCCCCAAGTGTAGGGGACCCCTGGGAGCAGGGGTGCTATGGGGGATTCAGGGTGTGTGGTAGGAGTAAGGTGACTGATGAGCTAGTGAGGGAGTGTTGGAGAGAACAGTGCCAAGAGGACCGGGGAAGGGGGTGCCAGTGTAGGCATGTGCACCCCTCAGCAATGTGTCTGTGGGAGGGAGGCAGGATGTCCGTGCCAGGGTGTCTCTGTGAGCATGGCTAAGCCCCTGTGAGTGAACTTCTTGAGGGATCGCTTGGTGTCTTGGCTTCTCTGCCCAGAAAGAGTGGCCAGGTCTTGAGGGTTAATGCAATCCTAGTATTAACTGGGTCCTTGAGACCAAGGACCCTCACAACCTGGACAGGTCATCGGGCTGACTAAACCAGCACAGTTCTGGGTAAGTTGGCGCTGGGGTGGGGAGGGTCCTGGTAGGCATGGGGAGCAAGGGGAGGGCCGCCCTTGTTGGCTTGTCTGAGGGGGACAGAATGGGCCTGTGCCTCACTGGACTCCATGGTGGGAGTCAGGACATGAGTGATCCCATTCAATAGCTTGATTCACTCAAAGGAGTCAGGGACTGCCCCCATCCCTACCATGGGGCACAGAAAGGGCAGAGGAGGAAGAGTGTTGGGGAGAGTTATGGGACTCAGGGATGCTGCCAGGGCCCACCCCTCTGAGGAAAAATGAGACAGAACATTAAGGAAACACCAGGAGTCCACGCGTCTCTGCCTGCCAAGCCCTTGCACCCGAACTCCCAACAATAACAGGGCACTCTGAGACCTACCAGATGTACGCAATGAATATCTTCATTTCCTTATTTATTTTTAGGTTTATGGGATTGTCCTGCTCCCTTTGAAGAGCAGGGATCATTATCCCCATTTTACAGATAGGGAAACAGAGGCCTGAGAAACACGGGGATTCAGCCAATGCGGCTGGTGCCTAAGCTGGGATACCCAGGTACCCAGGGTGTCAGTCCAGAGTGTCCAAAAAATGGTCTTGGTGATCCTGTGGATTACTAGACCCACTCACGAACAAGAACCGTGGAAGGTCAGGGTGAGTGGGAGGGAAAACAGGTGAGACCACGAACAGAGAGACTGAGGAGAAAGCAGTAAGGTTGTGGTTCCACTAAACTACAGTGCAGGCTTGGGATTTAATTGGGTTCTGGATGTGGGCTAATGTTAGAGCTGGGGTTAAGTTTGGGGTTAGTTGAATTATGAATGAGGTTGAGGTCAGATTTGAGGTTGGGATTAGAGTTAAGGTTGGGATTAAGGTTAGAAATACAGCTAGAATTGAGGCTCGGGTTTATGGCTGGGGTTGTGTTACGATAAGGAATAGAGTTTTAGTTTCATTTAGAGCTCTGCCTGGGAATACAGTTAGGGCTACATCAAAGGCTGGGTTTAGATTTATTTAGGATTGGGGTTATAATTGAGTTAGAACTGAGTTTGAGATTCATGTTGAAATAGGCTGTGGTTAGGATTGGAGCATGGTTTAAAGACACGTAAGCAGTGGGAGTTGGTAGGGATCAAAGATGAGGTTTTATTTCTAATATAGAAAGACTTCAGCCTCCATCTGCTAAACCCAGGTCTGGCTAGAATTTTCAACCCTTAGTGCAGGGAGACTACTAGTAGCACATGTTGATTAGGGTCCCAAGACTTGGAGGAGGAAGCCAAACATACACAAGCGCATCTAAGGGGTATAAGGCAACTAAATCCCATACAGAATGGACCCTCTGAAGTCCTGCTCCACTACTAAAGCTCACCACCTGGCCAAGCTCCAGGAAAAGCATTTGGGGAGGAGACGTGGGAAGCTATTGACAATGAGTGGGGCTCTGACACCAAACCGAACTAGAAGATGGGGTCCATCAGAGGGAGTCTTACTGAGTGGGGAGGAAGGGTGGCCTGGATTTGGAGTCCTCAGGAGATGGGACTTGGGAGAAACTGAGGGTCTACATGCTCCTAGAACAGCCACTTTACGGGGCACCACACGGGGATCTTTCAAAGCCTGAAAGGGCAGAGTGCCATTGTTGTTCCCCCTTGACTCTCTGAGGCTTAATTGCTACCTCCTTGCAATTTGAGTCCTGTAAAAGAAGCTGTCAGCCTTCTAGCCCTATACCCTGAGCCCTGCAGGGTTTTCGGGGAGGGCAGTGGTGGGGAGGCTGGGGATGGGGTGAAGGCACTGGGATGTCAGCATAGTTTCCAAAGCATATGTCACAGCCCCACAGTCCCCTCCCTCTGTGAGAACACCAGCTCGCAGTCCGTGTTTCTCTCTGGGCCGTATCCTCAGCAGTGGAAGAGGGCCCCACTCCTTGGAAGATCCCTATCCCAACTCCTCCCTCTCATTTTTCCCCAGCCAGTCTCCACCCCAAACCTCTCATTTCCCCACCCACTTCCTTTTCAAGTTTTATAAAGGTCTGGTCGAGGAGACTACTGGGATTCCCCCTGTGACCCCAGAGAGAGAGAAGAAAGAGATTGGGAGAGATAGTGATGAGTTAAGGGGCAAAGACAGAGACTGGGACAGAGACAGACAGAAAGACACATGGTCTAAATGGCCCCTCCAGAGACTCAGAGGGAGACAGAGGAGGCAGAGCGCCCAGGCCACCAGCTGGGAACCAACACAAATTTCCGAAAGGGCCCCTTGCTTTTTCCTGAGAAATCCATGACTCTCCAGGGAAGAATGGCCCTGGTTTGACTGGTATTTGCTTCTATTCTAAGACAATAACAGAAAATCAAAGACGGGCCTAGAAAGGAGTAAACAGGGAGATACAGGAGGTAGGAAGAGGCTGGACAAAGTCTCAGAGAAGGCCACAGACTGCTTCCAGTATGAAGTGCAGCCCAGCCCCAGAACCTTTCAGGGAAGGACAGGCAGAGAGGGCTTGGGCTGCCTACTCTTCCTCCAAAGCCTATTCTTCCTCCAAAGTCCCTTTCACAGCAACTCCACCCCAGCCCTTTAAGCCCTGCCCTTCCCTGCCTGGACTTGCCCACCCCAACCCCTCTCACTAGCCGCCAGACTCCCTGGGCTCAGGCTCAATTGAGCTCCCCACAACCCCTGCCTTGGCTGGCACTGCAATTTGACTCTTTCTAAACTCCTCCCTACACAGTCAGCAAGC